ATATCATTGGTGTTACTTTTGTTTAACTTAAGGTCCATTTTAACATCGACATTTGAGCCGCGTCACGACAAAACCAACATAATGGGTTTGCGACCAGTATGGATCCAGACCAGCCTGCGCATCCGCGCAGTCTGATCAGGATCCATGTTGTTCGCTGTCAGTTTCTCCGCACTTGTCGAGTTGGTAAGCGAACAGCATGGATCCTGATCAGACTGCGCGGATGAGCAGGCTGGTCTGGATCCATGCTGGTCGCAAACCTACTATGTTGGTTTTGTCATGACGCGGCTCATTTTTCCCTTTTTGAACGTGTTCGAAAACAGTTTTGATCAGTTTTACATGCACTGGTTGTGTGTTGTTAAGTTATCAGGTCTGGGATCCCGCAAGCTCAGAACGTTCGAATCCTGAACTAATGAAACCGATGATATTCCAACACTTTTTACAAGTTCTTTTATGTTAAAGTCACATCATGTTTCGATTGTGTAGAAACCTTAAATCTTATAGACACAGTCTTGAATTCGTTCCTGGAACAACAACTACTGAGCAATGAAGTGTTTCTTGCTCAAAGGAACAACAGCTCGTCACTAATGGGGTTTGAACCCACGTGTAAAGCGATCCCGATAACACTAATCCGTCGCCCTAACCACTCTGCCATGATTCAATACATTTAAACTTATATATCAATCAAATAAATGAATAAAAAATGAAACAAAGGAGTGTCTCCTATCTAATTGAACTGTCTTAAATGGTAAAATTAATTGTAGCACATTTATTCGTGTGTAATGAAATTTAAGGTGTACGCATTTTAGTGAAAATGCAGGAGTATACGAGTTTCTGGAACTATCAACTGGCTGTTCTTATAAATAAATACATCGAAAACATTTAATAACTTACCCCATTTTTATTTAGGTAATTGGGGTATAAGCATTTGTGTATCTGCATATAAATACTTCATGTAGGTAAAATTTATATCTTTATAAACAAATATATTGTACATTGTTTTGAAAATCATTTACAATATAAGTGCCCTTAAAGTTAACATAGCTAATAAAGTATTAAAAAACATTGATTTTCTTGATAAAACTTACATTTCTGTTATAAATTACCTACTTGATTCTATTCGATTGAACACTTTTTATCTTGGATATGTGAGCTTGGTCAGTTAACATTAACGTGTGCAATCTATCTAGGAGTATAAAACATTTGAGTGGTCACAAAGTGGTCACAAAGTGGTCACATATCAAAATAAAAACAAATCAATGCACATCATAACAGTTTATTATCAAAAAACGTTATTGTAAAAATGTTGTACAAGTCGTGATATTATTTATTGCACAATACATATATTTAACAAGAGCTGTCGGTAGGACAGCATGCTCGACTATTCTAAGTGCTTGATAGTAAAAGATCCTTGATAATGTTAAATTTTTTAAGTTCACAAAAGGGCTAATTTTTTTTTATAAATTCATGTTATAGGCCTTAGAGAGAGTCTAATTATACAGAATTGGCTTGACTATTCGGAAGGTAATGTCACAAGGGTTTTTTACTGAGTATAATAATACTAATGTAACCTATGAATACATAAATTTGACAGAAAAGGTACAAAGGCTTGTTATTAAGATGTTTTATCAAGTAAATCACTGCTTTATTATTATGAATGCATAAAATTGTCCCAAAAAAGGCACAAACCCTTCAGTAGTTATTGAGATAACAGCTTACAAGCAAAACTTTACCATGAATTTCTAAGTTGAAAAAAGGGAGAAAAATCAGCCTAAATGCAAGATAGAATTATGGATCTTTGTCAGTGACCTACAATTATGACCCTAAATGCATATGTGAAGTTTTAAATAAATATCTTTCATAGTTATTGAGATATGTAAAACTTGCATGTAAAGATTAACCAAGAGACTAAGTAGAAAAGGGGATATGAATCAGCCTTAATGCAAGATAGAGTTATGGAACTTGGTCAGTGACATACAATTATGACCCTCCAATTATGACCCTAAGTGCATGTGTAAAGTTTCAAGTAAATATCTTTAAATACCTTTAACCTTTAACCAAAATTTCTAAGTTAAAAAGGGGCAAATAATTCTGCAAATATTGCAGACAGAGTTATGCAATTTTGCAAACTGATGTACATTGTTACTATAAATAAGTATTTTAAATGAATATCTCAAGCAATAATTGAGATATTTGACTTTACAAAAAAACTTAAACCAAAATTTCTAAGTTCCAAAGGGGCATAATTCTGTCAATATTGTAGGCAGAGTTATCCAACTTGTCAATCTGATGTACCTTGTTACTATAAATAAGTATTGTAAGTGTCAATTGAATATCTCAAGCAATAATTAAGATATTTGACTTTACAAAAAAACTTTAACCAAAATTTCTAAGTTAAAAAGGGGCACAATTCTGTCAATATTGTAGGTAGAGTTATCCAACTTGTCAATCTGATGTACCTTGTTACTATTAATAAGTATTGTAAGTTTCAATTGAATATCTCAAGCAATAATTGAGATATTTTACTTCACAAAAAACTTTAACCAAAATTTCTAAGTTAAAAAGGGGCATAATTCTATCAATATTGTAGGCAGAGTTATCCAACTTGTCAATCTGATGTACCTTATTACTATAAATAAGTATTGTAAGTTTCAATTGAATATCTCAAGCAATAATTGAGATATTTGACTTTACAAAAAACTTTAACCAAAATTTCTAAGTTAAAAAGGGGCATAATTCTGTCAATATTGTAGGCAGAGTTATCCAACTTCTCAATCTGATGTACCTTGTTACTATAAATAAGTATTGTAAATTTCAATTGAATATCTCAAGTAATAATTGAGATATTTGACTTTACAAAAAACTTTAACCAACGCAGACTCCGACGCGGACGCTGACGCCGACGTCGGGGCGACTACAATAGCTCTCATATTCTTCGAATAGTCGAGCTAAAAACAGAAAATTATCCCTAAATTAACACAAGAGGGCCATGATGGCCCTGAAATCGCTCACCTGTATATAGGCCCCTGGGGTAGGGCCAATTTTAACCAAAGGGCTTTTATTTGAACAATTGTGGTAGATACCTATTAGAAGATGTTTCATGATAAATATCTAAGCTCTAGCGCTTTGGAATTTTTAAAAGAAAAAGAGGATGTTTTACCTGGGGCGGGGCCAATTTTGACCATAGGGCTTTTATTTGAACAAACTTGGTAGACACCCACTACCCACTACCTAAAATATAAGCTATAGCTATTTGAATTTTTTAAAAAAGATTTTTTAAGTTTTTACTATATACATGATATACAAATAAGAAAAATCAATGACCCCCCGGGCAGGGCCTCTTTTGACCCTAGGGCTTTTATTTGAACAAACTTGGTAGACTCTGACTAGATGATGTTACATGCCAAATATTTAAGCTCTAGCTCTTTTGGTTTTTTAAAGAAGATTTTGTAAGTTTTTTCTTCTGCATGGAATTAAATTCTTTGAACAATTTTTACAGTTCACTACCAAAGGAACATTCCTGTGAAGTTTGGATGAAATTGGCTTAGCTGTTTATGAGATGTCGTTTAAAGAAAAAGTTTACGGATGGACGGCCGGACAAAAAGCAATCACAAAAGCTCACCATGTCATGTGACAGGTGAGCTAACAACACACTCATTTGCAATTTCATGAATTAAATAATTTTTATCTTGATTACAGATGCAACCAATCAACAATTTTACTTACAGATGCCTTCATTCAAATTTTCTAAACTTACACACAGATTGTTAAATTCAAACACTCCAAACTTACAGATGCCTTCATTCAAACATTCTAAACTTACAAATGATTAAATTCAAACACTCCAAACTAACAGATGCCTTCATTCAAATATATCTTAACTTCCAGATGCTTTCATTCAAACATTCTAAACTTACAGATGCTTAAAGTCAAATACTACCAAGTTGATTCCTACAAACTTAATTCAAACGTTCCAAACTTACAGATGCATAAATTAAAGCACACAAAACTTACATAATGATGCATAAATTCAAATACTCGAAACATTCAGACATCTGAATTCAAATTAACAGGAGAATATAGCCTTCCCGACATAAATATAACATTCAGCTAAAGGCTCAGGTCATATTTATTCTCCCGTAAACACACCAAGCTACTTGCATTACTTTAATATACTTTTCTGACTGGAACTACATACTTTACACCGCATGCTTTATAAACAAAGATGTCATTCTGCTTCATTTATAGCTTTTTTATAAACAAGATGATATCATTTCATAAAATATATGAATATTGTTTAAACAAGAGATAATATTTCATACAATGTACATGTATAAAAAATATTTAAAATAATTAAATATTGTTCAAACAACCTATGGAAAATGTAAACCACAACATATTTTCTTAAAAAAAGGATAAACAATTGTTTGTAAACGTATAAAATTAATTAGCTATTTAGCTATGATATTATTTTTTTACTTCCTTATTTAGATATACAACATATTAGCTATTTGTAAATTTCTTTTTCATAATACATCTTTGCATAATGCATCTTAAGTTAATTGTAAAGTTTTCATCAAGACATAAACTATTTCTTCTTACAAAACCAAATATATTTCCTTGCATCTACTTAAATGTATTATATAAATGTTTTATATCAAAGCATAAAAATAAATTCAGCATTTGTATATTTTTTATTAAAGCAGCATGCTTGCAAATATGTAAATTTTGAAAATGTTAAATATTGTGAAACAAACATAGCAAGTAATTTAAACATGGCAAATGGCACTTAAAATTTGCATGAATTACCAAAAAGACGTCAAAATTATTAAATATGCAAATAAAAGGCTTATTGCATAGGCCACACAGTAAAAGTATGGTGATAAATATTACAAAATCAGTTCTTAATCGCACACAACCTGTAAGTTATTACTTTAATCTTGAATATTTTCATTTTTTCTTAAAATCTAAGTACATTTTTCTCAAGTTTGATTTTCTTGGCTCATTTGGAGGCATGCAGCTTTGAAGCTTAGAACATTTAGCAGTTTTCTATTATATTACATGCATTTTTCATTTTAACTTTGACATTTAATCATCTTTTATTGTCTCTAAAAATTGAAGGTAGGAAGACACAACTCCATTTGGATATTCCCATTGTGGGTAATGTCCTATATCAATTGGTAACACTTCTATATGTGGGTTTGGAACTACTTTCCTGAAAAAAAAAATGAAATAGAAATACAGAAGTTATTAGAAACAGTTAGTAACTAAAAGAAGAATACATTAACCTTTATAATGTGGGATTTTAAATTGTACAATTACAAGTAATTTGCTTGGAACATCTGTAAGAATTACAGGACTGTATAATGGTAGGTTGATACTGGGGGTAGGTGGGTGTTAGTAGTTTTACCCCCTGAATCATGATGGCGAGCTATGTTGAATTCACTAGATCATAGTTCAGCCACAATACCTTTCCTGGGCAAGCTGTCAGGCAGTTTATCAGTACTAGATGCCTTAACTTTCGCAAGGAACCGATTACTTCTGTGCATGCAAGACCAGAGGTACAGTGCAAATGACAGTATGAACAATCACAACAGTGAACAGCTACAGTGAAACACTAGACTGACATGTACTAGTCCTATAATTTACACCATCAAACATTATCATTACACACCATCCAGTCATATAACAGTGCACTGACACTAACTTGACAAGTTTCTGTCCTCTAATTTAGACATTTTGTACAGCAAGCATGCAAAAGATATACTTGTGATGCCTTGTATACTAATCTTTCTTATCACATAAACCGCAGCCAGTGTAATAAAGCCATTTAATAAAAACGATATTACACTGGTGTAATAACACTTTGACGTGACGTCATTTGCGCTATATGGAAACATAGCGTTAAAGCGCGCTAATGTTAGCATTACACTATGGGCGCGTCATTGAAAAATTTCTCATTTTAACAGTTTACTGTTCTTATTTTACATATGTGATAAATAGAATATTATATTCGTGTAGATTTAATACTAAATTTATTGAACTCGTTGAATAAAACGATATTATGCTCGCCAGAGGCTCGCATAATATGATTTTATTCAACTCGTTCAATAAATTTAGTATTAAACTACACTCATTCAATATCCTCTATTTATGACCTTGTTGAGATTTAAATCTAAAACCTCAGAATACAACTAGTTGCTGTGGATGCACCACATAAATAACATATGAGAATATTACAACTTACTTATAATGGTCAACAAATACAGGAGGGTTCACAGGATCAGCTGGACCATAAATCATATGTACTGAAACAGTGAAATATATCATACATAATTCATTGATAAACAAGAGGGCCATGATGGCCCTAAAGTCGCTCACGTGTATATAGGCCCCAGTAGCGGGGCCAGTTTAAACCCCACAGCTTTTATTTGAACAAACTTGGTAGACACCCATTAGAAGATGTTTCATGCGTAACATCTAAGCTCTAGCTGGTCAAGTTTTTTCTTTAAACATATAGTTAAAAACAATGACACACCTGGGGCAGGGCCAGTTTGGACCAAAGGGCTTTTATTTGAACAATCTTTGTAGACACTTACTAGAAAATGTTTCATGCTTAATATCTGCACTCTAGCTATTCGGATTTTTCGAAGAAGATTTTTAAGTTTTTGCTATACACATATAAGGAAAATCAATGACCCCTGGGGTGGGGCCAATTTTGACCCCAGGGCTTTTATTTAGACAAACTTTGTAGACACTTACTAGAAGATGCTTCATGCTTAATATCTAAACTCTAGCTATTTGAGTTTTTTCAAAGAAGATTTTTTAAGTTTTTGTTATACACATATTAGGAAAATCAATGACCTCCGGGGCGGGGCCAATTTTGACCCCAGGGCTTTTATTTGAACAAACTTGGTAGACACTCACTAGAAGATGTTTCATGCTTAGTATCTAAACTCTAGCTATTTGATTTTTCAAAGACGATTTTTTAAGTTTTTGCTATACACATATAAGGAAAATCAAAGACCCCCGGGGCGGGGCCAATTTTGACCCCAGGGCTCTTATTTGAACAAACTTGGTAGACATCCATTAAAACATGTTTCATGCTAAATATCTTAGCTCTAGCTCTTTGGGTTCTTTAAAGGAAGATTTTTTAAGTTTTTACTATATGCATTTAGGGAAAATCAATGACCCCCTGGGGCGGGGCCAATTTTGACCCCAGGACTTTTATTTGAACACTTGGTAGACACCCATTAGAAGATGTTTCATGCTAAATTTCTTAGCTCTAGCTCTTTGGGTTCTTTAAAAGAAGAATTTTTAAGTTTTTACTATATGCATATAGGAAAAATCAATGACCCCCCGGGGCGGGGCCAATTTTGACCCCAGGGCTTTTATTTGAACAGACTTGGTAGACACTCACTACAAGATGTTTCATGCCAAATATCTAAGCTCTAGCTCTTTGAGTTTTTTAGAAGAAGATATTTAAAGTTTTTTCATTTGGTTGCCATGGCAACCAGAGTTCCGCTGGGAATTAAATTCTTTGAACAATTTTCAAAGGTGACCACCAAAGGAACATTTCTGTGAAGTTTGGATGAAATTGGCTCAGTGGTTTATGAGAAGATGTCATTTAAAGTAAAAGTTTACGGACGACGGATGACGGCCGGACGCCGGACGAAAAGCGATCACAAAAGCTCACCCTGTCACTTTGTGACAGGTGAGCTAAAAAAATACTGAGGTCAAAGGGTAAATGAATAACACAAACTCCTGAAAAAAATATTCATATGAAAGTGTTTCTTTCATAATTTCATTTTAATCTGAATAAAATCAGAAAATGTCTTGGACCAAGCTGTTATGTTTGCAGAGTTTTAAAGTAATTGGTCTATAACAAAAGGTCTGTGATACAATAAAAAATTAAGTTGATAGTATCTAGTATCACATATAACAACAAACCACAAAATAATTATTCTGGGGAGTTGTTGGCATGAGCAAATATTACATATATCTATACTGGTTGGGGACCACCAAAACCGGACAACCATCAAAACCGGACGGCCCCGAAAATGCTTAAATTTAGTATTTTCTATGTTCAGTGGTTGTCAGTCACTTTTTCATCAATAAATGTATGTTTCTTCTAAAATTAAGTAAATAAATTTATTTCAACCTCCGTAAATGGTAATATTAAATGTCTATTTCAAGAGTGTTGACGTTAAAATTTGGGGGGTCCAGAAATCAATGGCTGACCTCAAATACCAGTTATAATCATTTGCAGGGTAAACAATAGAATATCCAAAACTTCAGCATTTGTTGCTGAAATATTGTATATCATGTTAAAAATCAAAACACCCAAGCTTTTACCTGATTTAAAACAAGTAATGTACAAATCTGTCCGGACACATGGTCCTGTAGTGTAGACAATTTAGTTAATTTTGAGACCCCCCTTGTCGAGCCTCAGATATTAGTGTCAATACAATCAGAAATAAACAAACTAGTTTGTTAGTTAGAAAAAGAACCTAGCTGAACTGTGCGAAATATTTTAATCTCTAGATTTAAAATTATGAAATATGTACGGTAAAATGCTCAAAAAGTGTCCGGTTGATGGTCCCCGTCCAGTATAGCAGATAATAAAGTGTTCATGTTAAATCACTTACAACTTAATTAACATTTTTCCTTTTAGGCAATATTTTATAAGAATATCATTATGATAGATTTCTCTAGTTTTTATCATTATTGAAATACTTATAGAAAATGTGCTCATTGTAGACCAATTCACTTTAATCCTTCACAGTCATTAAATTAATTCTTATATAGACTTCTATCAAGTAGAGTAGCTACCAATACCAGTCCATCTATTGTAATCTATAGGTATAAAAGACCTCCAAGTTATCCATGGTAATGCATAGGTATAAAAAGTATCTATAGTAATCCATGAGAATCTATAGATAAAATGGCCAAATTACTTACCTGGTACTTTTGTTTTCTGCAAGGCTCCTACCCAACGTTCCTTGTTCTCATTTCTCTGAGTAATGTAATGTATCAGTCTTAAATAGAGAAGTAATAAGGTATTTTACACCTGACAATGCTGAATTCAAAAACAATATTAAACCTACTTAAATGACAAGAATTGGGAAATTTGAAAGGTGATCTTTGGTGAGAGCTGATCTCCGGAAAGGTTAATTTATCCAAAGTAAAACTACAATACTGGCTTATAGCAACAGGTTTTTCTACACATGGCCTGTATGCTGAAGTGGTTTCAAAGTACATTGCATATCATAAATTACATAAAAATCAGTCTTATATTATATTTTAAATATATTATTCTACCCACTTTTCATAATCAAAATTTCTGCAAACTACAAATAAATGAATTTCAGTTGTTTAACACTAGTGTAGTAGATGTTTTTAAACTAAGATACCACACTCTCCTAAACCTTTATTTTAGCAAAGTTCTATCCAGGTTCAAGATGATAATTGATTGAATTAATGTACAGAAAGAAATGCCTAACATTATGTCACATATAAAGATGAAGTCATCATTCAAGCTTAAACTGATAACCTGCTGGCACAGAAAGTATTCAGCCTTTGCAACCAGTATAGAGCCAGGCTAACCTGCACATACCTACAGTCTGACCAGGCTCTATACTGTTGGCTGACCAAATTTTCAACTTGATATCCTTAACATTGATATACTTGACATATTTACCTTGACATGACAACATTTCCCTCTTTGTATCTTAATACTGTATAGAAATCTCTCATATCTGTCTCAGATGGCTGTGTTTTGGGGCCAAATGTACTCCCTAATCTAAACAATGAATTACAAGATATAATATACCGTATAAGTGGTTTTTTCTGCGGGCTCCAAATTCTGCGGTTTTTCAAAATTTTGGCATGTTTTTATTTCTGCGGACTTAATTTCTGCGGCACATTCTTTGGACAAAATGTGATTTAAATTCTGCGGCTCATCTTATCAAAGTCTAAGTCACATTACTTTACCTATTTTATTTGCATGTACACATTCGCATTAAAATTTTGTTTACCGTCGTCACCGCAGAACTATATTATATAGTAATTACAAACAATTATATTGTTTGCTTGCAAACAAATATAATGTGCATCAATAGACAGTTTGCATCTTTAATTAGTGTGAAATGACGTGTGAAAAATATACCACGGTAGTATCTTTAATTTTATAAAATTGATAGACGTTTATCGTAAATCAGACAACAATTAATGTATACGACGATTATTTAGCAGTATAAGGGTTTAAATGGTTTTAATGATTTAGTGGTAAACAAACCCTTTAGCGTACAGGCAAACACTATGATGTTTGAATTTCTTTGTTCATAAATTGGCATAATTAACAACAATTACATCCTTACATGCACATATTGCATATTTAGCCGAAATCAATTTTATATAACTCGATGACCCGCTAACCGTTATAATCCGTTAGTCTTTATTCCTTTAAAGGAAACAGGTCATAATGTAGGACTCATTTCTTTAAAAAAAAAACTAGAAATGTGTCCATAGGACACGGATGCCCCCACACGCCACTGTTCTGTCAATCTTATGACTCTAGGTCAAATATTTTTTGGACTACATGTGCCACAAGTTGAAAACTAAAAATCAACAAAGGGCCATAATTCTGTAAAATTTGGTCGCAGCAAAAATTCCTTCCTTTACTACCATCTACACATTAAGGTTGTTAATCCCTGGAAGTTTAAGTAAAATCTGCCATCCAGTTTAAGAGGAGTTGCGTTCACAAAATTTCTACATAGTATATAATGAAAAAATCAACAAAGGGCCATAATTCTGTTAAATTTGGTTGCTGCAAAAATTCCTTCCTTTACTGCCGTCTACACATTAAGGTTGTTCATCCCTGGAAGTTTAAGCAAAATCTGCCATCCGGTTTAAGAGGAGTTGCATTCACAAAATTTCTACATAGTATATAGTGAAAAAATCAACAAAGGGCCATAATTGTGTAAAATTTGGTCGCAGCAAAAATTCCTTCCTTTACTACCATCTACACACCTTAAGGTTGTTCATCCCTGTAAGTTTAATCAAAATCTGCCATCCGGTTTAAGAGGAGTTGCGTTCACAAAATTTCTACATAGTATATAGTGAAAAAATCAACAAAGGGCCATAATTCTGTTAAATTTGGTCGCAGCAAAAATTCCTTCCTTTACTACCATCTACACATTAAGGTTGTTCATCCCTGTAAGTTTAAGCAAAATCTGCCATCCGGTTTAAGAGGAGTTGCGTTCACAAAATTTCTACATAGTATATAGTGAAAAAATCAACAAAGGGCCATAATTCTGTTAAATTTGGTCGCAGCAAAAATTCCTTCCTTTACTACCATCTACACATTAAGGTTGTTCATCTCTGTAAGTTTAAGCAAAATCTGCCATCCGGTTTAAGAGGAGTTGCGTTCACAAAATTTCTACATAGTATATAGTGAAAAAATCAACAAAGGGCCATAATTCTGTTAAATTTGGTCGCAGCGAAAATTCCTTCCTTTACTACCATCTACACATTAAGGTTGTTCATCCCTGTAAGTTTAAGCAAAATCTGCCATCCGGTTTAAGAGGAGTTGCGTTCACAAGATTTCGGGACGTACGGACGGACAGACTGACGGACAGACTGACGGACAGACGGACGGACGGACGGACGGACAAGTGCAACGCTATATGCTCCCACATTGTGGGGGCATAAAAAAAAAACGTGGAGAAATATTCTGCGGTTTTTATTTCTGCGGTGCTGAAACTGACCGCAGAAAACGCAGAAATAAAGTCACCGCAGAAAAAACCACTTATACGGTATCTATCATAAATATTAAGGATGTTCACTTTAATATAATGAAAACTGTTTCACAGGATCTTTGCATGGTTTTAGAATATGACAAAAGAAACATAATTGGGGGTCAATAATTTTGTTTCCGAGTTTCTGTCCTTGAATTTGAATTAAACATGAACACAATTTTTAAGCCATCTTGATAACTGTCACTGACTTAATGACCTTAAATCAAATAGTTGTCATCACCTTGCCATGGGCGATGTCCTAACAAGTTTCACAAACATAGGCTTCCTCCAGTAATTGATCAGACTTGGATTTTCCACTCTGTGTCACTGTCACCTTGACCTAATGACCTCAAAATCTACAGAGGTCATCAACCTGCCATGTGCATTGTCCCTACAAAGACTCACCAACCTAGGTTTATTTCTTATCAAGTCATTGAGCAGACAAGGATATTACACTGTCACTTTGACTTTCAATTTTGAACATAAACCAAAAGTTCATAAACCAATATATCTGACCGTTCTGACAGATGAACAGCAACAAGTTACCTTCAGGCAAAGATTATATTCTCTTCATGCAAGTGTTATTGATTGCTGCACACTAGTGTTTAATGTTCATTAGCTATTCATGACAAGGTTCTCATTATTATTTTTATATTAAAATGAGATTATTCTGATATTAAAAATGAGATTATTTTGATATACATTTATTTTATACAAAATCAATTTTATTGTCGCAGCAATATATGTTCATTCTCCAATATACTGTAAATCTTTGAATTATATCATGTGTTTATATATTTATATTATTTGATATGTTTAATGTAACAAGATACTGTATTGTATACGTTACGAAATAAAATTTCTGTTCTGTTCTGTTCATTATTTTATACTTTTATGGGGCATGTCCTCTTACAAAGGAAATATGCTTAAATAAACAAATCATGTGAGAGTTAAGTACATGTTTCTTATGCACTTTACCATCAAATTATATAAAGTAACCATTTATACAAACAAAAAGATGTTTTACCCTCGTTTCAATGATCCATAGAATGATAAATGGGAAAGAAGGTCTCCTAGGACAGGTACCAGAAGAGCCTGAAACAAATACATATAACAACATTTAATAATCTACAGTTAACTACCGATACTTCTTTCACATATTTCCACAATCTGGGATAATATGAAATTTTTAAACAGATGTTACTACCCTGTCTCACTAGAACAATTAACTAGTATTTACTGAAAATAGGTGTGAAAATCACTTGTTACATTGCTTGAGGAAGACCTTAGGTGCAACTTCATCCATTATTTCAGGAACAAGCCTGAACCCAAGTAGAACCACTCATCTCACAGAAGCACACATGAAAGAATCCAAAGACCCTAACTGACCTTTGTCAAGACATCTTTGTTATTTCATTAGGACCTTATGTTGAGTTTATGTAAGTCAGTTTAATATACAAACACCTTCCCATTATTGCGAGTGGCCTCTATATCAAGTGGTTTAGTTTTTGGAGTCACTATTATGGGTTTGAATGTTTGGTATGTTAGAAAGCTAACACAACAAGCAATTTCAAAATGATATGTTGGTGCATATAATTATACATACATTTATTTAACTAACCTTTTGAGTAAACAGTGGGAAATTAGTTTCGGGAAATACCCCTGAAATTAAAAAAGTTAAATAATGAGTATAAAATCTTCTCTGAAAGTCTTACTGACCTTTTGAATTAACCTTGGATAATATGTTTCTTGAAATAGCCCTGGAAATATACTGAATATGTACATTATTATGTACTTACATATAAGAGAGAAATCATTTGATTTGTTGTAATAAAATATGGAATATATCCCTACCAGGAGTGAACAATTTTCACAAAAGACATTTAGATTGAGTGAATTATAATCATTCCATCTCATTTCATGTCAGATGTATTCCATTATTTATACAAAACAATCATAATATTTCATTTTCAGAAATATACCAAATAAAGAAAATCAGTTATCTTGTTTATTATGAATTAGTTCAGTGAATTGTATAAACCATATCTCACAGTTAAGATTCCAGCAATTAAACATAGCATAGGAAATGCACTGAAAACTCCTTGTAAGGGAATTCATTGTAAAAACCCATATTATATAACGAGAAATACATTGAAGAACACTTGTATGAGAAATACAACATTAAAGAAAATGTCAAAATCATTAAAAAAAATGTTCACTGAAAGAAACAGAAAATGCACTGTAAAACTTAAAATATGTTAAAAAATCTCATAAATATTTTATTGTCAAATGTTATAGTCAAACTTCTAAAATGAAAAAAGACTGTCAGATTTTTTTAAAACAGAATTGAATATCAACTCAATGATTTATCATTCTCCAAATGAAATATATCATATCACATCATATGTCATGTATTCATTAGATGGATTGACATCTGTAAATACCCAGTGTTGATATATAGTGTTAGTGGTATAAATAATGATAATTTATTATAATGATTAACAGCATGCAAAAAACGAAAGTACATGTATCTACATCTAACACATACATAGAATAAAAACCAATGGTGTCCAATTTGTGACACATTTTGTTGCTTTAAATCAGAATTTGCCAACCAGCCTTCTTCAATCTAATAACAAGTATTTTCTTTCCGAAAATCTGCTTAATTATGTTTTGTATTTTATATTTTTACTTTTAAGAGAAAAAAATTAAAGTGGTTAATCATAAGGCAAAATTTTAGGTAGATCATTTTTTTCAGGTCATCAAAATTTTCTATTAACACCAGGCAGTTTATATCTATTTAACATATAATGACCAAACAGAAATAAGTAAAACTGACCGCCATTCAACATGCACAATGAATTCACCTGCATATATCCACTTCCTGTATTGTGCCTGTAAATGGACATAAAAAGAGGGGTTATTAAAATATTACATATAAAATTCACTTTGCAATTAATTAATAAATACATCATCAAAATCAATACATTTATGTATAGGTTTGTGTTTAAAAGAAAGCATTAATGAAATTAAATCTGTCACGAGGGGCACAGATGTTCAACAGATTTAATGGAATTAATATTGACTTAACAAACAATAACCTACTTTGTTATTGACATGATGTTTTAAATATTTACACTGTGCAAGTATGATATGCTGATTAAACAGAATAGTATTTAATGACAATTTAGTGCTGATTCAATTAATTAAATGTACCAAAGAATTTGAAATATGGAACAATCTCATTGGACAAATTATACATGTAATTTCTAGCACTTGACGCTTCCATATTGAATTTTGATGATGAAATTTAATAGTTATATATGTATCAAACAAAAAATATTTAAGTGAACTGATCAACTTTTTCAAAATCAAGAATTAATGGTCACATTTTTTCTGTTAAAACATCAAAATTAATGATGTTGTAACAGTTGTAAACCTGAAAATAAATTTCCATCTCTTTTTTGTTTAGATTTTCAGTCACAAAAACTCTGTAATGGCCATATTGCAACTTTAAAAATGGTACACAAGTAGAACTAAGGACCATCCAGAAGTTAGCTACATGACCTCATTACTATTTCAGGATTCAAATCACCAAAAGGATTCGAACTCACATTATTACATAGAAACTGTGCATGCAGTATACATTATTGATGTAAACATGTTCTACAAGCTTGGGCTTTAAATGTGTCCTCATGCTTTTACAGATGTAGACCTTAACTGTACTTAAAATGCTTTGTTTAACAATTTGATAATTGCCAAAAAATTATTTCTCTTTTACTACAGAGCAAATATTTTCCTTGAAGTAATTACATCGAAAATTGTTACCGGTAAAGAAATTCTATAGCAAACGTTACCTGTGAAGTAATTCCAGGGCAACTGTATCACCATAATCATGTGACATAATATGCACATCTTTAACTGACAGAGATTTTAATACTGCTTCTAAAATGTCTGCCTGCTCAGTTATCAAGTAGTCATACTGTTTCTAGAATATAAAAAATAATAAACTAAATTCACTTTCACACATGACAGAACAGCACTAATTTCAGAATGTTTCTCCTTCATCAAGCATGAAAATGAAAGTGAATAATTTAATTAAGTGAACAATAAGTTGACAGGGGTAATTGTTATATACAATTGTGTATTATTATATATTAAGAAATCTCATGTGGCAACACTTAAGCTTAACTGATGGATGAAAACTTTTTAGGGCATTATGATGGTGGTAACAGCACTGCAATGTACAGTAAAAGCATGGAAGTAACATTACAACTTCATAAATATGGTGATTGTAGAAACAGGACAATGCAATGATTGTTGCAGGGCTGCATCATACAGGCTGTGTATGGTGATGGTGGAAGCATAATGATGGTTGTAGCATAGTGATGGTTGTAAAATGTTGAAGGTTGTAACATGATGAAGGTTGAAGCATAGTGCTGGTTGTAGCATAGTGCTGGTTGTAGCATAGTGATGGTTGTAGCATAGTGATGGTTGTAGCATGTTGAAGGTTGCAGCATAGTGATGGTTGTAACAAAGTGCTGGTTGTAGCATAGTGATGGTTGTAGCATAGTGATGGTTGTAGCCTAGGGATGGTTGTAGCATATAGTGATGGTTTGTAGCATAGTGATGGTTGTAGCATAGTGATGGTTGTAGCAAAGTGATAGTTGTAGCATAGTGATGGTTGTAGCATAGTGATGGTTGTAGCATAGTGATGGTTGTAAAATGTTGAAGGTTGCAGCATAGTGATGGTTGTAACATAGTGATGGTTGTAGCATAGTGATGGTTGTAGCATGGTGATGGTTGTAGCATAGTGATGGTTGTAGCATGGTGATGGTTGTAGCATAGTGATGGTTGTAGCATAGTGATGGTTGTAACAAAGTGCTGGTTGTAGCCTAGTGATGGTTGTAACAAAGTGCTGGTTGTAACATGGTGATGGTTGTAGCATAGTGATGGTTGTAGTAACAACACTCATCAAGCTACAACCATCACTATGCTGCAACCTTCAACATTTTACAACCATCACTATGCTACAACCATCACCATGCTACAACCATCACTATGCATGGTGATGGTTGTAGCATGGTGATGGTTGTAGCATGGTGATGGTTGTAGCATAGTGATGGTTGTAACAAAGTGCTGGTTGTAGCATAGTGATGGTTGTAGCATAGTGATGGTTGTAGCATAGTGATGGTTGTAACAAAGTGCTGGTTGTAGCATAGTGATGGTTGTAGCCTAGTGATGGTTGTAGCATGGTGATGGTTGTAGCATGGTGATGGTTGTAGCATAGTGATGGTTGTAGCCTAGTGATGGTTGTAGCATAGTGATGGTTGTAACAAAGTGCTGGTTGTAGCATAGTGATGGTTGTAACATGGTGATGGTTGTAGCATAGTGATGGTTGTAACAAAGTGCTGGTTGTAGCATGGTGATGGTTGTAGCCTAGTGATGGTTGTAGCATGGTGATGGTTGTAGCATAGTGATGGTTGTAGCATGGTGATGGTTGTAGCATAGTGATGGTTGTAGCATGGTGATGGTTGTAGCATAGTGATGGTTGTAGCATAGTGATAGTTGTAGCATAGTGATAGTTGTAGCATAGTGAAGGTTGTAGCTTGATGAGTGTTGTAGTATAGTGATGAATTTAACATATTAATGGTTGTAGCATGTGATGGTTGTAGCATGGTGATGGTTGTAGCATAGTGATGGTTGTAGCATGGTGATGGTTGTAGCATAGTGATGGTTGTAGCATAGTGATGGTTGTAGCATGGTGATGGTTGTAGCATAGTGATGGTTGTAGCATGGTGATGGTTGTAGCATAGTGATGGTTGTAGCATGGTGATGGTTGTAGCATGGTGATGGTTGTAGCATAGTGATGGTTGTAGCATGGTGATGGTTTGTAAAATGTTGAAGGTTTGCAGCATAGTGATGGTTGTAACATAGTGCTGGTTGTAGCATAGTGATGGTTGTAACAAAGTGCTGGTTGTAACATGGTGATGGTTGTAGCATAGTGATGGTTGTAGTAACAACACTCATCAAGCTACAACCATCACTATGCTGCAACCTTCAACATTTTACAACCATCACTATGCTACAACCATCACCATGCTACAACCATCACTATGCTACAACCATCACTATGCTGCAACCTTCAACATTTTACAACCATCACTATGCTACAACCATCACTATGCTACAACCATCACCATGCTACAACCATTACATATTAATGGTTGTAGCATGGTGATGGTTGTAGCATGGTGATGGTTGTAGCATAGTGATGGTTGTAGCATGGTGATGGTAGTAGTATAGTGATGAATTTAACATATTAATGGTTGTAGCATGGTGATGGTTGTAGCATGGTGATGGTTGTAGCATAGTGATGGTTGTAGCATGGTGATGGTTGTAGCATAGTGATGGTTGTAGCATAGTGATGGTTGTAGCATGGTGATGGTTGTAGCATAGTGATGGTTGTAGCATGGTGATGGTTGTAGCATAGTGATGGTTGTAGCATGGTGATGGTTGTAGCATAGTGATGGTTGTAGCATAGTGATGGTTGTAGCCTAGGGATGGTTGTAGCATAGTGATGGTTGTAGCATAGTGATGGTTGTAGCATAGTGATGGTTGTAGCATAGTGATGGTTGTAGCATAGTGATAGTTGTAGCATAGTGATGGTTGTAGCATAGTGATGGTTGTAGCATGGTGATGGTTGTAGCATAGTGATGGTTGTAGCATGGTGATGGTTGTAGCATAGTGATAGTTGTAGCATAGTGAAGGTTGTAAGCTTGATGAGTGTTGTAGTATAGTGATGAATTTAACATATTAATGGTTGTAGCATTGTGGTGGTTGTGGCATGGTGATGGTTGTAGCATGGTGATGGTTTTTGTAGCATGATCATTTTGCCATTGTGATGGTTGTAAAAGGATTTTGTCATGCAGGACATGCACAGTGATGACAGAATACTTACAGGTTTATCTGTGAATCCAAAGCCTAGCATATCAGGTATAATAATCCTACTGTACTGTTCCTTCATATCATCCAAAATCTGGAAAGAAAAGCACAACAAATGGTTATGAAAACACAAACATACCCTATCCTAGTCTAAGTTATGATTAATATAAATTATGTGCAGGACCACAAAGTAAAGCTACATGTACATGCTGATTCAATAGCTATGATCTTGTCATTCTGGGTCTTTCTAATTGATTTTTAAAGACCCTGGGTCGTTGTAGATTCTGAGAAATTTCAAACTAAGTGACCTTGCAGTTGGGTCTTTTTTACCCGGGGGCATTATTACGGTAACTTTGTAGAAGTCAACAAGGCAATACTACAAGCCACATGTCTAAGCCTTTGGTATTGTCATTTTACACAAGCAGATTTTGTAAAGGTTTAAAAAATGGTGCTACATACCTAATATTAAAGCTCTAATCATTTTAATTTCTGGGGAGATGTAAAATAGTTGACCCACAGGGTGGGACAATTTCTGGCCCCCATTAGCATGATTTCCACAAATTGTGAAAAGATCCACCGGGCATCATAAAATGACAACTTAAGCTATGGGCAATTGGAGTTTCATACAAAAATATTTAAATATAGTTTCCTATATAAGTCAATTACACGTCTATCTAATCTATGTGATCAACAAAGCAGGGATTTTTATATTGGGTTTTACATCATACCAAAATAGACAAAAAAACGCCCTAAATAACACCCAAAATGACAAAATTGAAATGTTGAAGGCTTGGTTTGATTGAGCCAGTTCATGGATGATACTGGAAAATATAAGTTTCCGTCCACACCCCCTAGCACCAGCTTAAGCAGAATTAGAAATGTTTTGTAAGCTTTAAACAACTTTTTAGGACAAAAAATAGTGCTACATATCAAATATCTAAGCTCTGGTAATGGCACTTTGAGATGATTTTTAAAGTTGTTGTTTTTTTTTGTTGAGTATTACATGGCACAACTATGTAAAAGTCATATGGCAACTTTCCAGCAATACTGTTCGAGGAATCCTCATGTGTCCTTCAATGCATTATTTCAGAACAAAAAGACACTTTAGAAGAACCATCAATGTTCTGTAACCAAGTTGGATAGCTTTCTCACACAAAAGAGTCTGAAGTCCCTGGTGCAATTTGAACCCATAGCATGAGGGGACAGTCGTTTACAGTTGATGTACTTAACCGCTCAGTCACAAATGACCATTTTTTCAAGTCTGTTTTCTATGTAAGTCTGAGTAAACTAAATGTAAGTGACCCCAGAGCAACTCCATTTCTAATATTTATATAAATACCTGCCAAATATCTTAGCTCTGGGCATTTTAGTTTCTTCGGAGAGGATTTATAAAGACTTTATTTTTAAACTCAAGTTTAAGATAGATTATTTAGAGAAATTGACCCCACCTTTATCCAATCATGACTTGAAGTTGGGAAACCATGAATCAACAACAGTGTGCTGTCATCTGTTAAAATACCATCTTCATCTGTGTAGAAAAAGAGCAATTACATATTTATATCAACATATTATATTACCATTTATATAAACTGAAAATATGGCTCACAGATGTGCAGTCATTTTGTGGTAATTATAACAGAGTTGGGACTTTAAGATATTTTGAATAAAAATTAATACTCATCTAGAGGTAAACATATTTAATTAACAATTATCTTGCTCGAAACAGTGACAAGTTTTTGGCACTAGTAAAGTGCCAGGCCAGGCTCTATTGTGTTGGCTTATACTAGACTTTAAATTATCATCTTAATATCCACAAAATTGATAGTGGACTGTTCCAAAAATAAAAGCTGGAAAAGTCCATTACACAAATTCAGCAGGTTACTGGCTGGTACAAATTAGCTGTAACATGATTTACCTATGTAGAAAATATCAAATTCTTTATATTTCATAAAGTTGCCTTTCTTGTACCAGGTCTTGAGCCTTGGGGATAGATCTGGTGGTGGAATGTTCAAGTAATATACAGTAACCACGGTTACAAGAATAATCCACAAAATCATCATGTATCCCATTTTGTTTTAAGATGTAGATTTTAGTCTATGGCTTCAATAAAGTCTTCTTGATGAAAGTGCATCTGAGGATCTGGAAAGAAAAACAATGCTTTTTATATCAATCTTCATATCAGTAAAAACTTGATTGACTTGAACCGGAAGTGATCAAGCTTTGCCACCAGACTGCATAATTATATCAAAGCTTTGAAGTTAAAATTATTACTACCTGTAACTTTTTTCTTATTTTGGTACAATGAAATCCCTTAAATCTGAACTGACTGTTCCAATTTCAAAGTATGGCAATCCATTACAAGATCTAGTAGATTTAAAGGAACTTCACTGAAGTCCAAAAGTCTAAAACATATTTTTTTGAATTTTTACATAGATCAGCTTGGGCAGTTAAAACAGAAAGATATGAAAATCAAGAAATAAACCTCAGACATAAATTGAAAATTTTATTTTTGATCTATTCCTATACAGATTTGAGTTAAAAGGCACTGCAACACTTTCAAATTTTGTCATTTTTCACAGTTCACATAATAATTCTGGAAAAACCTGAATGAACAGTTGATCTGAAGGTTTACACACAAGTTTATTTTGTCTAGGAGAATTAATCTTAAAAATTATTTCCAGTCCCACCATGTCAAAAAACTTCATTGGAGTCACTTTAAAGGTTAATAAATCTGATGAATCATGTAGGAATGTTTATTTATTTCATTACCTCGAAAGCTAACATGTAGCTACTGTATACAGACTTTATCTATGTTTACATATTACACTCAACTTAAAAATATACCAGCCTTGAAAATAGGTTTTCCTCGAAATATGCCACTAAATTTCTTACCAAAATTTAAGGGTAACATATATACAAAATACTTTTTTATATCAAAGATAAAATAGATGTTTAATTATCTAAATTTTTACAATTTGTTATTTTGTTGATGTTTATACTGTATATAATGTACTAGTCAGGACCTGAACACTTTGAGACAACATAACAATCAACATTCAAGTATATTATTTTATATCTAAATGTCTTACGAAGCCAATTTAAAATTTGTTGACATAAAGTTGACATAACATTACATAATTCCCCATTTAGTAGCTAAATTTCAACAGTATAGAATTATTATATTATAGGAATATCTTAACAAATAATAACATTATGATGCTACGTACTTTTTACAACTCAAAGGGGCCTCGGACAGAAGACTGGAAAATAACATTGTACAGACTGTAAACAACCAGACCATGATGGATCTTATAGAAAAGAGATAACCTAGCATCTATATGTCTGTGTTCCAGTTTATGAAGCTTAGTATATAATATAGGTGTGAAGCATGTCCGTGACGATAGAAGTCTGACCATAATCTAGCTTGATCCATCGGGCCGCTCTTCATTGGACATTTTTAATTTGATCTATTTGAATTTTGGTGTGGGGAGACCATACTTGATTTTGTCCAAGAATATTTATAGAGATTAAAAATGAAAAAAAAAATGTGGAAATGTATAATGTTTATAGTGTAATGGACACATTACTTACGGTTAATAATAAGCTGTTTTAGTTACTTTAAACGGACTGATGTTGGCATGAGATGCTATACTGAAATAATGGTTGGCATACTAATATGAAGTTAAATGTATTACTATTAGCACGGATTTATATTACAATATTGTAATATCAGGGTTAGAATTTAGCAAAATTTTCTACTTGCAGATTTTTGCAAGTGATCAAATGTTTAACTGGCAATATGAGGTAGTCAACTGGCAATTCCATGATCACGTATCTTATTATTATTATGATTTTTATAATACACATTGACAAATTATGCGTATTTTGAACATCTGGTATGACAAATGATAATAAGTTTGAATGTCTATTGAATATCAGAAACATCTTTTTCACTGGTAAACACAGATGTCTTCTTGTAACGAAACAAAAACATTTCAACTCGTTAATTTATAAATGTCATAAACAATTGTTTAGGGATCAGATTAGATATACCAGAGGAACACCCACTGGTGCCAATGTACATTTATAAACTTGTTCATGTTATGTAATTAATTAGGACCTTCATTAATTTTAAGATATTTTGTACTTGATTACACCAACAGCCTGAAAACTCAGAGGCACTGATCTACTATTTCAGCTTAAAAGTAAACACTTTACAGAGGAATGCTACAAATTTACATTGGACCCTGATATAACATCTTGGATGCTCTAACCAATAGTGTTTGGCTGTTATACATAGTCCATCAAAATATAGTCACAGAAAGAATAAATAGAGCAACCAAAAATTGATTTTTAAGTTTTTAAGGTTACTGCATCTGGCACAGTAAACATCAGTTTCTACAGCGGGCAGTTGCCAAGCATCATCATAAGCTATGAGATATCAATTATGTAAACGTCCAAAATGAACAGTCACTTGCAAATAAATGCCAGCTAGAGTATTTTTTACTGGTATTATTAGATTTTAACTGGCATTTTGCCAGTATGCCAGCTTAAATTCGAACCCTGAATATAAATCCGTGCTATTAGGTATGTCTGCATCTGTCATATAGCTAATAAAACTTGGTTTATACAGAATTTATTTTTTGTTTGATTGTGTAGGAAGCTATAAGCTTATAGACACACTTTCGAATCCGTTCCTGGAACCAACCAGTACTGAGCAATGAGTGTAAAGTTTCTTGCTCAAGGAAACAACGACTTACCCCCCCCCCCCCACCCCGACAGCCTTTGAACCCATGCATCTAGTCCCAAGCGTTAACCACTCGGCCATGCTGCCACTAATTAAACTTATTTCAACAGTTTACAAAAACATTTTACAAAAAGGACAAAACAGTCTGTAAAATGGTTTAAACTTGTGAAGTGCCTCAATCACCATTCTTAAATTGACGGGTGAACTGCCCGAGGTCTGAACTGTCTACAAAATAATGGCCTAGGGTGAAGTGTCAGAGGGGTAAACTGTCTGTAAATCGTCGTAAATTCGTAAAGCCTTTGAATCAAACTAAGTTTTGGTGGTTCAATATTTTCAAAAAATGTGATAAATTTACGTGTAGATCTTCTACGTTACTTTCATTTTCATTCAGGGGTTTAGCAGTGATTATCTATCTATCTATCTTCCATATAGTCAAACCCCTGCTGGGGACCTAGACTTGACGCGCGTCAACTGACAAGAATGTTAGTAAAAGAGTTGAAATAAAAGAATATAAAAGTAAAGGAAATGAGTATATTGTTAAAAACAGGTTAAAAACAGAAAAGGTATTTTTAGGGAGACGTATGTTCAATCCGGCTTACAGCCAGACTGAACTCGGGGCCAGACAAGTTTATGATTTCAGGTGGTAAAGCATTCCAGTGGACAATTGTTCTTGGGAAAAATGAATATTTATAGTAATCAGTTTTAGTTTGGACTTGTTGGAATGCATGGAGATGGGATGTTCTAGATGATCTTGTAAGAGGGACGATATACTTTGGGAAAGGAATAGCCACCTGGTCATGCAGGATGTTGTGAAACATGACCAACCGTTGGTCAATACGCCGAAGGTCAAGGCGCCTCCATTGAAGGGAAGTCAACATGTCAGTGACACTTGACATACGGCCAAAGTCATGTTTGACCCACCTAGCAGCCCTTCTCTGGACTGACTCTATCTGGTCAATGAGAGTTCCTGTGTAGGGGGACCAGACCGTGGAGCTGTACTCAAGCTGGGGTCTGACAAGTGTCTTGTATGCGGTTGACTTTAACCTTTCTGAGTGAACCTTGATGTTTCGGCGTAGAAAACCAAGTGTTTGATTCGCCTTTGTTGTGATGTTGTTTATGTGTTTGTTCCATGTTAAATCATTTGATATTGTAATGCCAAGGTATTTTGCAGATGGAACTGTTTCTAATGTGGTGTTATGTAGGAGGTATTTTGTTGGAATGACTGTTTTTCGTTTTGTGATTTGGATAACCTGGCATTTTGATGGATTAAATTGCATGTCCCATTTTGTTTCCCATTGTTCAAGTTGGTGTAAGTCATGTTGAAGTAAGCTAGAATGAGAAGCGACAGTCAGAGATAGATAGATGGCTGTGTCATCAGCAAATAGGCGGACCTTAGAGGATTGGACATATTCAGGAAGGTCATTTATGTATATAAGAAATAAGAGAGGTCCGAGGACCGAGCCCTGGGGAACACCGGAGGAGACTGGTATGGAGCTGGATGTGGAGCCATTTACCACCACGGACTGTGACCTGTTATCAAGAAAACCTTTGATCCATTTAAGAGTCTGACCCCTTATACCGTAGAAATGCAGCTTATACAGGAGTTTTTCATGGTTGACCATATCAAAGGCCTTAGAGAAGTCAAGAAGGATTAAGTCTACTTGGCTTCTCTGATTTACTGACTGTAGGATATCATCTATAAGCATTAATAATTGGGATTGACATGACCTTTTTTCTCGGAAACCATGCTGCAAATCATAGAACAAGTTTGATCTAGTAAAGTGCTTTGTTATACTGGAGGAGACAATGTGTTCCAGGGTTTTACACAAGATACAGGTAAGAGAGATAGGGCGATAGTTGGCTGGGTCTGACTTGCTACCTTTTTTAAAGACAGGGGCGACATTTGCCATTTTCCAGATGTCTGGTAGAGTGCTGGACTGCAGTGATTTCTGGAAAAGTTTGGACACTATAGGGGCTAATTCTTTACTGGTATTTTTGAGCACAATGCGTCTAATTTGATCAGGTCCTGCAGCCTTATGGGGTTGAGGTTTTTTAAAAGCTTCTCAACACCTTTTACAGAGATATCAATATCACACATGAGGTTATGTGGGCTAAATGATGTGTGGGAAACCTCTCTACCTGTATCTGCCTGATCCTGTACCTTCATATCAGCAAGGAATTTAAGAGAAACAGGGGATTTAGAAGTGAAAACTGATTGAAATTGTTCATTTAGTACTGTTGCCTTGTCTTGATCTGATGTATACAGTTTATTGTGTTTTTTCAGTGAGTCAATGCCAAAAGAATCTTGTTTTGAATGTTTTAATAGTGAATATAGCTTTTTGGTGTTTGGTCTGGTTTGTGTTTGTTCATGTTCTTGAGAGATGTTGTTGTTAATGTTTAGTATATCTTCTAAGTAATTTTGATAGGCTAACTTAGTTTCTTTTCTGCAGAGATGTTTAATACTGAGATATTTTTCTCTAGATTTATTTGAGTTATGGCTCTTGTACTGCTTGTAGGCTTTGTCCCTTTTCCTGTATAAACGTTTGAGGTTAACCTTGATCCAGGGGAGTTTATTTTTGGAGGATGACCATTTTGATGGGATGAAAGTATTGACCCCTTCCTCAATTGAGCTGGATATTGTTTGCCATAACTCTTCCACTGATTTGTTGGAATAACTTTTTGACCTGGTAAGAGAATCATGAAGGTTGGACATATGTAACCTAAGACCGTCCCAGTCTGCCTTATTATATAAGTGGATCTTACGTGGTTTTTGGAGCTTTATGCGGGCGGAGGTATTTGTGTCGACCAGGACAGCATCGTGATCACTGATACCTGGGATTACGTTGGCTCTGTTAACAATGGAGGGGTTATTTGTCAGGAACAGATCTAAGATATGGTTTTCTCGGGTTGGGTCTTTGACTACTTGAGTAAGGTTATTATCAAAAAGAATGTTAATAAAATCTCTATAGTGTGACTGAAGTTTGCAGTCTGAGGTTGGAGTAATATTTGACCAATCAAGTTTTGGCATGTTGAAGTCCCCGCCTACCCATACTGTTGCATTTGACTTTGTAGCCATGGATAGAGATTTATTGAACTCATCCAGGCTATAGGGGTCATTTTCTTTAGGTTTGTAGTAAGAACCTACAAGCAGTGGTTTGGAACCTTGCATTTCTATTTTGACCCATATATTTTCACAATCAGTTTGGAGGTTGGTAGCTTCTTGTGCTATAATGCAGTTTTTAACAGCAATAAATACTCCTCCCCCAGCCTGCTTCTTCCTATCTCTTCTGTAGGGGGTGTAACCTAGGTCTGGATGAAAGATTTCATTATCAAAATGTTTAGGTTTTAACCAAGACTCGGTTCCAATTATAATATCTGGGTTTGTTGATGTTACCATATTTTCATACTCTAATTTTACTGTCGGAGTTACTTTCCAAATTATCTCTTTTCAAGTTTTTATTCTTACTTTTCTTTTTAATGGTAAAAGGCTTAGTTAATTTCATAATATTATACAATTACGATTTCTAAAAGCAGTTAATATCAACCATGTTACACGAATTTTAACCTTTGTCTATTGGTTGTTGTTGTAAATTGGATTTTTCTAAGGTTTACAGCACGTTCATTCGGAACATCCTCCCAATCTCAATCGCAACTTTTCGGCCCTTTCCGTCAGTCTTCGGATAATGAAATTATTGCCGATTGATTTCGCGGACTTATCTCCCTTTTCAATATGGCTGCGCCCATGTTTTAAGTTTTATTTTCTTTCGACAGTTCAACTCAAAGAAGGGAAAACTGATAGCTGATGTTGTTTTGAAAATATATCGATAAAGGTAGATAATAATGAATGACAGAAGTTACCCCCTCACCAGGGGCACCAGTTCCTCCGTGACAATAGACAAAACATAAAAGAAATTAGTGGTGAGGGTGAATTCGGCCCTATATAGGATAATTAGTCCTTCATTGAAAGACATCTTCGAGGGCTCAGCGCAAGACTATTCTAACTCAATATTTTTCAGAAAATGGTTTTTTGACATTTTCTTGTATAAATTCCTTCAATGCATGTTCTGTTAAAAAGACTTAATTAATTTCCCACTAATTTTTAAGTTTTACACATTTTAAGAAAATATTCTATGTGGTGATATAATATATTCAGTGCAAAACTATTCTAAGTCAAGTAAGAATAGTTTGACAATCACTTTAAAGTTAAAAACTTGATATTCTTTTGTGCAAGACTATGCTAACTTCAGTTAGAATAGTCTAGCGAAATAAAAGATGCTGTTAACAGGAGTTATTGCAATTGGAACTATTCTAACTGAAAATAAACAAAGTCTGATGATGTCATCACAAGCTTTCATGATGTCATAAATTCCAAGAATATTTGTGACACTTTTTCTATGATCATATTTTACAGAATTTTACAGTTTTAAAACATATTCTGATGTGTTTTTGCCTGTTTTTTCGTTGTTTTCAAGATGAAGAAAATTTGATTCCTAATTTATTTATACCAAGTGTAACAATCAATTTCAAACACTTGTAAAGATTAATTTATTTTACTGACTCCATGACATTTCAAATTCTCTGTACAAAGAATAAAAAAAATAAAAAATCAGAACTCAGTATTATACAATTTTAGAAGAAATTTTCCATTTTTAGTCTGAAAATTTTACTTTTTATAGTAATGATGAATATTAAAGTTGCTTACATTTAAAGATTTATGGTTTATGGCCAATCAAGTTCACTTGATGGAGAAAATAGGGAAAAACCCAAAAAAAGGGTAACAAACACAATTGAAAATTTTTGGAGGCTGGGTTTGATTGACCTTTTCTGGAGGGTAGGGGAAAGTGAATTTTAACCGTCCACCCCCCTAAACCGGTTTAAGAGAATTCAACATTTTTTACACAAAAATTTTTGAATTTTAATTTAAAAACACCCAGATGTTTTTAAAACGGAGTTATAAAAATTCAATTTGAACTTTATTTCCCTTTCCCTTTAAAAACCGGCTTTGGTTAGAAAAGAATGTTTTTCCCCCTAAAAAAGGGAAAAAAAAGGGCCCGGAACTAAAAAAAGGGGTTTAAAAAGGGGGATTGAGGTTTATGAAGCTGATATACAGAAAAGACGTCAAAAGACAAATTTAAAAAGCAGGCAATAAACTAAGGGTGATTATACAGTATTCAAGTAGGGAATACTGATTAAGAAAGTGATATTTAAATGTCCCCGAACTGGCTTTCAGTAAAGTTTAAATACAACAACAGAAGAATAAAAACAAGCTTATCTCAATACAATCATTGCAAAAATCATCCTCTGAATTTAAATCTAAATTCAAAAATAAAAAAAATATATTATTTGAATTGAAGTGGTGCAGGTATTTTAATAATGACAAAATTATTAACCTTTTAGTTTATTTTAAACGAAGCTTTGAAAGTGTATTAAAAACATTTCAAAATTACTTGGGTTAAAGGAGACGACTTGTAAAATACACATATCTTGACCAAAACACAAAACTGTTTCAATTATTTGTGTTGGTCTAGGACAATCACAACAGATTGGTAACAAGGCCAAAAATTACCTCGTTGATGAAACAGATTAAAGCATTCACATCCATATGGTTGTATGTTTGAGTCCCCTTGTTCCTATATTTTCTGTATGTGTAACATTTGAGTGTTTACAAGTTTTATCATCATTGTTATACCAATTGTGCAATGAATACTTATGTGATATGATGTTTTTTCAAATTCTATTTAAATACTAATATGGGTAGAAGAAAAAGGAACAAGCAAAAAGGCAACAATATGACTGTAACAGTATTAAAACATTATATAATATTAAATCCCCGGGATAAAGCATGCAAAATGGGGCGATAATATTTTCTGACAATGTTTATGAAAGCATGCAGTTTTTATAGAAAGGGTCCTTTCCAGTCTGACATAAGTTCAGATCTACTTATTTCTTACATGTAGATCTGATTGCCCCCATTTTTATTTAATCTTCATTGTGATTCGGATTTCCCAGGAAAAGCTATTTTTAGCAATGAAATCAAACCGTCTTTACAGATAGGAATAAGACGAAGTATCTTAATATCATTTTCTGTTCAAGTAAAACATATGTGCCATATTATTGATCTTTGATAGAAAACAATTTGTTGAAGTCATGTGAAAAAAAAACTGGAAATTAAAGACTAAATTTTTAATAGACATTGTTGTTTTGCCAGTTTACCTGCCGGCTATCTGGACGATACAATGTTTGTTCTCAAAATTGTGAAAATGACCTACTCAGTAATGGTTTACCAGCCATTAAAGTTAGAAACCACATCGCTTTCAAACATTGTGAAAGCTTGCCGATGATTTGCTGTTCGAAAGGTTATGACAAGATGACAACCAATTGGTGGTCGTCAGATCCTAATGTTAGTGTTAATTAGAAGCTAATTTTAATCAGTATTCCTAAAAATTCTTATTATTCCAGTTTCAAATAGCATGATTTAAGTTTTCAAGCCTGTACATAATTGTTTTCTTTCTTTGTATTTACAAAAGTCTACTTTATAGTACATTTAGATTTATAATTTAGAAATACAATTTAATCAGAGTTATGTGCTTATGAATGTTGAATTTTTTTGAAATTTTTAATCTTGAAAACTTCCAGAACTTTTCACTGAATTTATGTATCTTCAGCAACATTTATTACTAATAGTAAAAAATATTTTGTTTTTTGATGATTTATTTCTTGAAATAAGGATTGTTTTTACTATTTAAAGCAGCACATTCTTTTTACATTATGACAATTAAGTAATACTACAATATTATGACAATTAATTACTGCTAAAATATTTCTAAAGTTCTAAAGAGTATATTAAATTTTGTGTTTTGTATTAAAATACACTTTTAAAATGTCAGTTTCTAAGAAATTTATAAAATGAACACCTAATGCAATTTTTGACACAGCCACAAGTGAAAGTATAACACTGCTGGTGTTCACAAATAAAATGAAATATTTTATGATCTTACATGTAAAATAAACAAATTTTACATTTATTTCATATGTTTTTAATGGTTTTAAGCCATTTTGATTTTTTTTCTGTGTATCATCATATATATTACTTTATCACATTATGTTTATATTCAAAAAATAATTCTGTTACAGTATTTCATTAATTTTGTTTGATTTTTAACATATGTGCAAATATTTAAGTGCCTCTAATCATATATCACATTATACTTATAATTAAGTGTATTTCTCACAATATTACCTTTATTTACATGCTTTTCAGTGGACAGTGAAATTATAAAATATCATTAACAGTAACACAGTAGCCAGACCTATCTGAATGCAGATGAAAAGAATATAACTTAAAAATATATAGAAATACCGTCAAAATACACATCATTATGAGTAAAAGGTGCTTGAATACAAAAAACACATAAATATCTAGTTATCTACATAGTCATATCAATTCAAAAATGTAACATTATGAGTAAAAGTTTACAGGATTATTTTTCAATAAGAACTATGTGACATCATGATTTTATGACATCATTAATGAGAGTGCATGTCGTTATTTGGCAAAAGTCAGGAAAAAAAGATTAAAACTGATAAAACAGGATGGAATAAATAGAAAATTTGTTTTTTTTTATGCAAAATCATATTATATTTGTAAAATTATAGTCACAGAACAATTTTACTATTAATTGAATTAATGATATTATGATTTATATCTTTTAAATTTGTGAAATGTCTAATGTGTTAGTAAATAATTCTGAATAACATCATGTATTTTTTACCAATACCTATTTAAATTAAAATAATAAGAGACTTAAAGCTGCATGCCTGAAGATGAACCAAAATATGTCAATAAAACCAAACTGAACAAAAGTATTCAGTAAAAAGATTTCAAGTTCCAAGTTATGTGCGAATTATGACCGATTTCGCAGTATTTTTCAACCTTAGTTCTATTGCATTACTAATGCAGTATTAAGGGCTATTTTAGCATATTTTGACCTCTTTTTGGTAATTAACATGGGTTGTAAGTACTGTTTACAATGTGAAAGTTATTTTCTTTTTTTCACTTCACAATGTTTTACTTTACTATAACACATTTTCAAATTTTTCATGAAAATTAGCATTAATCTGGAGGCGTGCTGCTTTAAAGGATTTTAAAATTCCTATAATGGAGGGTTAAAGCAGTCCTTTAATTGTGCATCAACAAGGATGCATTCACAGCCCAAGCATGCATGCACAATGCTTTCTAGCACAAAGTACCATAATCATGTTCATCATTTCATTATTTGTGTCATTGCAGTCAGTAATCCGGAGTCATGCATATAAAAAACTTGCAACAAAAGCTTTTGCCTCAACATGAGGATTAATATTAAGAATCTGCAGATTTCACTTTTAAGAATTTGTATTAACACAAAAGATATGACTAGAATGAAAGTTATTATCCAATTTTTGTGTTTGTATGAGGTTGCTAACACTTACAAGTACCAACTATATATTTAAGTAGGGTATAAATCACTGATAATTATGCAAATATGTAACAATATCAAATTATACTTTATATTATGGTCTTAGAACCGCCTGAAACCCTGATATCCCTTCAAAAATATTATTTAAGAAATCAAATTTACTTTCTAAAAGTAAACATGATATTCTAACTTGATAGATAAAAGATATTCTTAACTTTCAAGTTATTGCAAAAGTAATCTATCTTAAGATAGAATAGTTTTGCACGAGATTTAGGAATCAAAGGGACATACTTTATAGTGTTAAAGTATTCTAACTCAAGATAGAATAGTTTTGCACAATAAATATTCTGGAAAAAGTAGCTTTTCTAGTGCAATACTAGGCTATGTTAACATGTAGGCAATAAAATGCATATTTTACACTTTTCTTGAAAAAATGAACATGTACACAACTTATTTCTATTTTTTGATAAGATTGGTTGTGATTTTTTTTTCAAAAAATGAAATCAAAATAAATAACATATTTTTTCCATTTCCTGAAAATTTTTCAAAATACAAGTTAGAATAGTCTTGCGCCGAGCCCTCGTCTTACAGTTTGACGTTTATCGGATTTGGCCCATGTAAAAAATAGCTTCATATCTGCGGTTACGTATAAATATTTGGACTACTCTATAAAAAAACTGTTCAGCAATGAACAGGTCAAGAGCACAGCCTACATGTCACTCGTGCGACCAGGCCTTGAATATTGCTCCACCATCTGGAACCCTTATACCAAGGACCTTACACGCAAGCTCGAGATGGTCCAGAGGAGAGCTGCAAGATATGTGACGAACCGTTACCACAACACAAGCAGCGTATCCTCAATGATCCAACACTTGGAGTGGGAGACATTAGAGTCACGACGGACCAAAGCCCAGCTGACCATGATGTTCAAGATCACCAATGACCTTGTGGACATACCAGTCAGCGATTATCTCACCCCTGCCCGGAGCCGCACTAGAAGTGACCACTCCAAGAAGTTCCATCTACCATTAACATCTACATTGTACTACAAGAACTCCTTCTTCCCTCGTACAACCACGATATGGAACAGCTTACCTGCCTCCGTTGCAGAGGCCCCTGACTTGGTATCCTTCAAGCAGGGGCTATTAGCCCTCACATTCTAAGTCGCCTTAGGGGCCCAGCTACAAGTACCCACTAGTGATATTCAAGGCTGTGCCGGTAGCGGCCACCGTAACCGGAGAGGTTTGGATTGAAGAGGCGAAATATAGCTGGCCATACTTTTTGTCTATATCTCTACCTTTGTACTATCCAACCTCTTCTAACTTTCTATCATTTCTTGTATATTTCTTTTTCTTGACCTAGCACCACCCGTCGCGCCATAATCAAGTGTGATTGCGCCGACGTACAATGTAGATGTAGATGAGAAACCACAGGTGTGTGATTGGTCACCCCCCCCACACACACACACATACTTTTACCCACTCTTTATTTAACACTCCTACATTTCCAAAACAATGTAATCTGCAGTATTTTTCATTTGGAATATGTGTTGCAGGGTGAGTAAAATGTGCAGCCTGTCATACCGGGACTCAAACACATGACACTTCAGATACCTTTCCGCTGCTCTACCGACTGCTTATACATCTTGAACAGTTCTGAAATGTGACATATGTTTTGATAATTGATTATATATGCTTTTCATTCAATTTCCTTCATACCCCACAAAAAAATCATTTAACCCTTTACCACATATATACGCGAAACAACGCATTTTCGACCCCCCCCCCCCCCCCCCTTTTTTTAGGCCTGAAATAGTGAAAAAATGTCATATTTCGGCCCCAAACACATGTTTTCGCTTGAGAAATGTTGCTAAAAAAAATGAGCACTTTTTCGGCGCCGCCCCCCATCCAAAAGATACATCAGGGGGTTGCCAGAAGGGGGATGTGCCCCCTTCTTTTATAGGGGTTTGAAGGGGGGCGGAGTCCGCCTCATCGCCAAGAAAATTTTGGACTTGTGAGAGGCTTAAAATGACCCCAGGTCGATCATAAGGTAATGTGTAACCAACGCTGAAAAGCCTTTGACTCTATCTCAATCCCTTGACAAGTGACAGGGCTAGCACTGGCAAATTTTTTCTTTGAGCCAATTTTTCGCTGCGAAAATTGCCTGCCTGTATTTTATTTTCAAATCAGGCAATCAGGTACGGCATGAGATATTTCGGAAAACATAACTATATCCAGCTTTATTTTGGTAGTTTCCTTTTTTTTTATTATCAAATTAACAAATCTTACATGCATAATTTACAGTCAGTAATCATTAATGTCAGTCATTATAACATTTGCCAAAAGTCAGGCAGCAAGGTTCCCTTTATAGCATGACAATAAGGTCAATCTTTTTTTTTTTTTCAAGAATACTCTGTAAAGCTTCAAATGTCAAAAAAATTCCTTCTCATTTTTATGTTTTTGGAGCCATGATTAAGTCAGATTTAATTGACAATAACCCCCCCCCCCCCAAAAAAAAAACAAAACAAAAAAAAAAACCAAAAAAAACAAACTCATAATTCCTTTGATCTGTTTATCAATAAAATTTACTGGTCAAGTCACTAACTGCAGTACATAATATGTCGCTATTTCATACACAACTGCTGATTTGATTAGTGATAATCTTCAGATGCCGCTAGTTATTGTTTTATATTGAATATGAAGACCAATATTATCGTGTGCTTATTCAACAATCGGCCAGGTATTTTCAATAAGTGTCAAATTTATCAGTTCGTTGTGCTAGTATAATAAGGTCCTAAGTGCCATTATGTAACATTGCGGGAAATCGAGCTTAAAAATTTAGTTAACAAAAATATTAAAACAAAATAAAAATTTTCTCTTTAGAATTACAATACCCTATCTCCAGGAGTAGTGTTTATAACCATTTATATTTTAAAGGCGGTAACCATATATAATGGCATTATCTCTTTTAAAAGAATTAAAGGTTTTGCTTTGACTTACTGGTAATATTTCCTAGCAATTTATCAAATATGATACTAAACAAGGGTGCCATAGTCACAAAATACGCCCGTTTACGAAAGCTTTAGATGGAGATGGGGGCATTATGGATAAGTGTTATCTAGCAAGCAAGTTTTTATTCTTGGCACTGTGTTGTTAAATGAACCTTAAAACAAGTCAGTAGGGAAGATATGCACAGGATGTGTGACCTTGACCTTGGTCGCAGGGACCTGAATTTTATGCACGGCACTCAGCCTCACAATGATGAACATTTGTGCCAAATTATATTGAAATCCCAGACAAGCGTTTTTCTATGAGCTCTAACTGTGGCCTTCACCTTTGACCTAGAGACTTGGTTCATGTGCAGGGCACTACGTCTCATGGTGGTGAACAATTCTATAAAGTAACATTAAAATTCCTCCATGCATGTAGAAAATATGCTCCGGACAACATCTGGATATTTAATCATCTCCAGTGACCTTGACCTTGCAAATATTAACCTAAATTAAATGTGTCACACCTGTAGTCATGATAGTTACCATTTATGCTACAATCCATCAATAAATGATGACTAAATGGTCCCTATACACATCTTTAAATTTTTATCTGAACTTTGACCTCTATGTGTAACCTTGACTTTTACTGTGATGTCACGTATTTATATTTTTCTAAGTATTCAAAGTAGATGTGAAATCCCAGAAATACACTATATATTTTAAGTCCAGGGATTTTTTGGCTTATTTTATAGCTGATATTCGGTCATATTCCCAATTGAAAATTGACTTTTAATAGTATAATATTTCCCAATCCACAGTAAAAAATTCTCAATTGAAAGTTACTACTCGGGAGCCCTTTCATGCCTGAAATAATGCACAGATTGACACACAAGGTGTTTCTTGCCCAGTAAAGCTGGAAAGTTGTCATATGACCTCTATGTGTGGGTGCAACGTAAAATCCAACCTGAGAGATAATAAGTAAATAATTTTCAAATTATCTTCCTTTATGTGCTTATTGCTTCTTTTATGTGCTTTAATAATGCTTCTTCTATGTGCTTATTGCTCAAAAGTATTTCTATTGACACATACCAAAACTTCCCTTAGGTTGGGATGTTGGTAACTTTTTACAAATTCTTGTTCAATACCCAGCAGTTAACAAAACATGAAATTAAAATAGGATATGTTTATTTTCAGTGAATCTGTAATGATGCCACCCATTGGAAAGGTCGTAACAAGTCCTTGTTGCAGAACCACTGTAATTGACTTTATTAAAAGAGGTAGCTGTGCGTTTTTCAGTACAAGTAGATATAGAATGTATGATAAAACCCGCTACAGCCCGGATTACTACAGGTATAAGATGTCAATAAACAATAAGAGAAGTTTCCAAAATCATTTGATTCTCGGCCCAAATAAAATGAAGCGTCTGAAACGTTTACAGATGGAGTATGAAATTTTGAAAGCTACTGGAGAGCATGAGGTATGTTGATAATCCCATAACGTTTTGATCATTTTTAGCTCAACTATATGAAGGATATGGAGAGCTGTCCTACTGGCTCATGCGTCGACGTCCGCGTCCAGATTTCAGATTAAAGTTTTGGTGCAGTAAAATATTTTTCACTATAACTTTATCATTTCTTAAGGGATGAACTTCATACTTCAAATATATATTCCTTATCATCAACCACATCTTAAGTGACAAGATGCATAACCCTAGAACCAATATTTTAAGATTTATCTCCCCTAAAACTTAGAATTGTCCTTAAAAAATACTATATTTTACTGTTACTTCTTTATTTCTTAAGGGATGAATTTCATACTTCAAATATATGTTCCTTATCATCAACCACATCTTATGTTACAAGGTTCATAACTCTAGCATCAATATTTTCAGATTTATCTCCCCTTGAACTTAGAATTTTCCTAAAAAATATTATTTTTTACTGTTACTTATTTATTTCAAAAGGGATCAATTTCATACTTCAAATATATGTATCATATCATTAACCACATTAATGTGACAAGAGGTTCATAACTCTAGCACCAATATTGCAAGAATTATCTCCCCATAAACTTAGTTTTTTTTTACTAGAATAATGTTATTTTTTTGCTATTTTTAGCTCGACTATTCGCAGAATAATCGAGCTAATGCAGTCACCCATTTGTCGGCGTCGGCGTCCCTGTGGTTAAGTTTTTGTATGTAAGCTGGTATCTCCATAACTACTGAAGGGAATGGATTGAAACTTCACACACTTGTTCTCTGTGATTATCTAAGATGATTGGCACAAGTCCCATAACTCTGATTTGCTTTTTTTCATAATTATGCCCCTTTTTCAACTTAGAAATTCTTGGTTAAGTTTTTGTATGTAAGCTGGTATCTCCATAACTACTGAAGGGAATGGATTGAAACTTCACACACTTGTTCTCTGTGATTATCTAAGATGATTGGCACAAGTCCCATAACTCTGATTTGCTGTTTAACATAATTATGCCCCTTTTTCGACTTAGAAATTCTTGGTTAAGTTTTTGTATGTAAGCTGGTATCTCCATAACTACTGAAGGTAATGGATTGAAACTTCACACACTTGTTCTCTGTGATTATCTTAGATGATTGGCACAAGTCCCATAACTCTGATTTGCTTTTTTTCATAATTATGCCCCTTTTTCGACTTAGAAATTCTTGGTTAAGTTTTTGTATGTAAGCTGTTATCTCCATAACTACTGAAGGGAATGGATTGAAACTTCACACACTTGTTCTCTGTGATTATCTAAGATGATTGGCACAAGTCCCATAACTCTGATTTGCTTTTTTACATAATTATGCCCCTTTTTCGACTTAGAAATTCTTGGTTAAGTTTTTGCGTGTAAGCTGGTATCTCCATAACTACTGAAGGGAATGGATTGAAACTTCACACACTTGTTCTCTGTGATTATCTAAGATAATTGCCACAAGTCCCATAACTCTGATTTTGCTTTTTTACATAATTATGCCCCTTTTTCGACTTAGAAATTCTTGGTTAAGTTTTTGCATGTAAGCTGGTATCTCCATAACTACTGAAGGGAATGGATTGAAACTTCACACACTTGTTCTCTGTGATTATATAAGATGATTGGCACAAGTCCCATAACTCTGATTTGCTGTTTAACATAATTATGCCCCTTTTTCGACTTAGAAATTCTTGGTTAAGTTTTTGCATGTAAGCTGGTATCTCCATTACTACTGAAGGGAATGGATTGAAACTTCACACACTTGTTCTCTGTGATTATCTAAGATGATTGGTACAAGTCCCATAACTCTGATTTGCTTTTTTGCATAATTATGCCCCTTTTTCGACACATGAATTCTTGGTTAAGTTTTTGCATGTAAGCTTGTCTCTCCATAACTACTGAAGGGAAATCAATGTATTGAAACTTGAAGAGTTTGTACCTTTTCGGACAATTTTATGTATTCATATAGGTAAGCATTATTATACTCAATGAAACACCCTTGTGACAAATTTTCGAATAGTCGAGCGTTACTGTCCTCCGACAGTTCTTGTTAACTTATTAGTTTTAAAGGTATCTACCTCGAACTTCAAATCATCAATTACATTTTAAGTGACAAGGTTCATAACTCTTGAAGCAATATTTACAGATTTATCTCTCTTTGAATTTAGGATTTTCTTTAAGAAATATTATAACTTCTTTACTTTTTAAGGTATCTACAGTAACTTAAAACTTTAAATATATATTTCTTATCATTACACACATGTTGTGTGACAAGGTTCATAACTCTAGCATGACTATTTCTAGAATTATTCCCCTTGATCTTGGAATTTGTGTAAACAAAGTTATTTTTTTACCATATCTTAATACATAATTATACATAATTGATTTTTTTTTTTCATAGTTTTGTCTTCCTTACTGCGTCCAGTATTTTATCAGTCCAGCTTCGCTGTTTTCTGTGACATCTCTTGCTCACTTGTCAAACATATTGCTCTGCAAGGTTTGCTTTGTTGTTTTCTATTGTATGTGACAATTCACAAAAGAGTACTATATTTAAGTATGTCATTTTTAGATAAATTGTTTCATATAATTGTCCAATCAAAAGAATTAATTTGCCAGCAATATAACGGCCATCAATTCCCTCTTGTTGAAAAATCATGATGGAGTATTCTGTTTCAGTTACATGTATATACAAATAGGCATGATAAATATGTCATTTCATAATTATAAGTGCAAACTCATTATTGTAAATTTGACATCATTTTCACACACACACATTAATACATTATTTACTTGGCAAGTTAATGAATAATTAATAATATGAGCTGCGTCACATCAAAATCAACATAATGGGTTTGCGACCTCCGCGCAGTCTGATCAGGATCCATGCTGTTAATTCGCTATCAGTTTCTCTACTTGTAATAGGGTTTGTAAGAAAACAGCATGGATCCGGATGCGCAGGCTGGTCTGGATCCATGCTGGTCGCAAACCCATTATGTTGGTTTTGACGTGACACGGCTCATATGTCTTGATCTGATATCTGATGTCACATGATCTTTAAACTTGGTTTATGTCAAGATTACTTCCAGAGGTTTGTGTGATACATGTTTAATTATTTATTTCAGGTACCATATGAAATGAATACTTACTTGTGGAGAGACATTGTACTAGCACAATCTAAAGACCAGAGGATGCTTCTTTATAAAGATATCTTGTCCGAACAGAAAGACTTATATGTAATGGAGATAAGAATGTCTGAAATAGAAGTTGAAATGTTATCTTACATCAATGCAATAGAACAGAATGGATATACTGACAAGTCAATGTTGCTTGTTGATGACAACTGCGTCAGAAATAGGCAACATATTCAAGATATAAGTACAGATATGTGTAATTACAATTTAAGTCAAGATCTTGTTATTGACTTTGGAGTTTCAAATAGGAATCTTGAACAAAATATGCCTAGGAAATTAGACGATTTACGACTTACTTTGGAAATGAATAGAAGACATGTACAGTCTTTTAAAATCCATATTGCAAACTGTGGTCAGGTGGAAAAATGTGATGAAGATTCAAAAATTGTTTTTGATAACATAATGAAAGATTTTCCACTTGTGTCATATCATGACGGCCATATCTTCAATGAATTTAAAAAAGAAAGACTTGTGTTTTTAACTCCGTGGGTAAAAGATGATATTAAGGAGATCAATGATTGTGTTCCTGTATTACTTCTGGAGAATCAAATGTATACTAACGGTTATGATGCTTATAATGCTGTTTTAAACTCGCGTGGTATTAATAAAGCCAGACTTCCAGTAAATCAATATGTAAGGTATGTTAAAGGTTTTTACATGAACTAGCTTTTAAGCTCACTAGAACCAAAGTTTTAGGCTGAGTTATTAGTGTGGTAAGGGGGGGGGGGTACTCTGGAATACCATGATGATTCTTGGTCATCTTAGTGTATGAAACTTCTGCTCAAAATAACTTTATGGTCAAACAGAATCAGATGTTTTCCTTTAAATTTCCTTGACCTTGAAATTAATGAATTTTGCTATAATTATGGATAGGTTCAATTCATACTTAAACAAAATAACACAATTAACTTTAGCAACTCAAGTTGACCTTGATCTTCAAATGCCCTTAACCAAATTGTTAAATTTTGCTAAAATTGGCCATAATTTTGTTATTAGTAGATGCATTTGATTGATATTGGACATTTAAACACTGTCATGTTGAGATTTATCTCAACCTGTGAGGATAAAATAATAACTTTTCATAAAATGGGTCAAAACTTATTTATAATTATTTCATTTTTTTGTGCTTGGACATAACAAGCTTTTGATTATTAATTTTAAACAGGTAGAATTGGATTTAACTTTAACCTTAATAATGCTGTTTACCTCTATAGTAATTGTTTTTCTAAATATAGCCATACCTTTTTATTTATTAATGAATGGATTTGAAGATTGCTTGGACAAACCAACACTTATCATACATTTCTCAAGCTAAGACTTGGACCTTAAAATGACTATGACAGTTAGTCCAAAATCATTAAATTTTTCAAAAATTTCCATTATTGTGTTATTAATTGACTGGTTTGATTTAAATGTAGACTAACAAATAAAACCATCAAGTGAAGCAATTTGAGTATGACATTGACCAATAAATGACCCTAACCTTTAAAGTCAAATTATTAAATGAAATTATCATAAAATTAGCCATATATTTTTAGCTCGACTATTCGAAGAATATGAGAGCTATTGTAGTCGCCCCGGCGTCGGCGTCCGCGTCTGCGTTGGTTAAAGTTTTTTGTAAAGTCAAATATCTCAATCATTACTTGAGATATTCAATTGAAACTTACAATACTTATTTATAGTAACAAGGTACATCATATTGACAAGTTGGATAACTCTGTCTACAATATTGACAGAATTATGCCCCTTTTTAACTTAGAAATTTTGGTTAAAGTTTTTTGTAAAGTCAAATATCTCAATAATTACTTGAGATATTCAATTGAAACTTACAATACTTATTTATAGTAACAAGGTACATCAGACTGACAAGTTAGATAACTGCCTACAATATTGACAGAATTATGCCCCTTTTTAACTTAGAAATTTTGGTTAAAGTTTTTTGTCAATTATTGCTTGAGATATTCAATTGAAACTTACAATACTTATTTATAGTAACAAGGTACATCAGATTGACAAGTTGGATAACTCTGCCTACAATATTAACAGAATTATGCCCCTTTGGAACTTAGAAATTTTGGTTAAAGTTTTTTTGTAAAGTCAAATATCTCAATTATTGCTTGAGATATTCAAATGAAATTTAAAATACTTTTTTATAGTAACAATGTACATCAGTTTGCAAAATTGCATAACTCTGCCTGCAAAATTTGAAGAATTATTTGCCCCTTTGAAACTTAGAAATTTTGGTTAAAGGTCTTCAAAGATATTTACTTGAAACTTTGCACATGCACTTAGGGTCATAATTGGAGGGTCATAATTGTATGTCACTGACCAAGTTCCATAACTCTATCTTGCATTAAGGCTGATTCATATCCCCTTTTCTACTTAGTCTCTTGGTTAATGTTTACATGCAAGTTTTACATATCTCAATAACTATTAAAGATATTTATTTAAAACTTCACATTTGCATTAAGGGTCATAATTGTAGGTCACTGACAAAGATCCATAATTCTATCTTGCATTTAGGCTGATTTTTCTCCCCTTTTTCAACTTAGAAATTCATGGTAAAGTTTTGCTTGTAAGCTGTTATCTCAATTACTACTGAAGGGTTTGTGCCCTTTTTTTGGGACAATTTTATGCATTCATAATAATAAAGCAGTGATTTACTTGATAAAACATCTTAATTAGAAGCCTATGTACCTTTTCTGTCAAATTTATGTATTCATAGGTAATTAGTATTATTATACTCAATAAAACAACCTTGTGACATTACCTTCCGAATAGTCAAGCCAATATTGTATAATTAGACTCTCTCTAAGGCCTATAACATGAATTTATTAAAAAAAAATTAGACCTTTTGTGATCTTAAAAAATTTAACATTATCAAGGCTCTTTTACTATCAAGCACTTAGAATAGTTGAGCGTGCTGTCCTACCGACAGCTCTTGTTATTAATGAACTGATTTGATTCATATTTTGACATAACAACACTTTGGACAAAGTCTTTATATAAAGAATAACCTTGACTTTAAACTTTCCTTGACCGTCAAGGACAAATATGAAAATTTCTTTGAGTTCTCTAAGTAACTAATGCACAAATATAATTGACATTTTGACCAAATGACATGTTAGACAACATATTATACTGCCTGAAGTGAATACAATTTTAAACTTTAAATTAATTATCTTCAAGGTCCTATTAGCTAATGTCTGTATTGAACAAAAAGTAGAGCTATGATAACCGCTGCATTGTCATTATCTTGACATGGTGCAGTTGTTACACAAGGGGCATATTTCTGAAAGCAATATTTTTGGAGTTATGTCCTTTTTAGCTCGACTTTTTTTTTTTTGAAAAAAAAAGTAGAGGTATTGTTATAGTCAGGTCGGCGTTGCCGTTGCCGTTGCCGTTGCCATCTCCGTTGCCGTTGCCGTCCGAAAACTTGTACCTGGATCATAACTTTTTTATTTCTTGATGTATTGTCTTCATACTTGGCCACAACAACCCTTGGGACAAGACCTTTCAGTAGACCACACTAACCTTGACCTTCATCCATAAAGGACCTTGACCTTCAAGGTTAAAAGTCCAATTTTTGCTTGTTCATGCTGTTATTGGCTGTTACTTTGTTATTTTTGAATGGATTGTCTTCAAACTTGAACATAATAATCTTCAAGGATATCCCTTAAAAATAACCATTCAGACCTTGACATTCACTCATCAATGACCTTGACTTTGAAGGTCAAATTATTGAAATTTTCATTTTTTTGGCTATTATTGGCTGTAACTTTGTTATTTTTGAATGGATTGTCTTCAAACTTGAACATAATCTTCAAAGATAACTGTTAAAAATATACCGAAAGACCTTGACCTTCACTCATTAATGACATTGCCTTTGAAGGTCAAATTATTGAAATTTTCATTGTTTTGGCAGTAACTGACTGTAACTTTGCTATTTTTGAAGGGATAAACTTCATATTATAACAGAACATTCTTAAGGACCAGACCTTGTTGTTTATCAAACCCAAATTTGCTTGGGCTCTTTAATGACCTTGACCTTGAAGGTTATATTACTGAATTTTCTCAGATTGTGCATTTATTGGTGTGTGTGTATGTATAGTATATGTATTATATATATATATATATATATATAAATGTGTGTGTGTATATATATACATATATGCAGGTATATATATATATAAATATATATATGCATGTATATATATACATATATAGATATATATATATATATATCAAATATATATATATCAAATATATATATATATATATATATATATATATATACATATATATACATGTATATAATTGCGTCATGTTTTTCTATTTTTAGAAATTGCGTCATTTTTTCTATTTTTAGAAATTGCGTCATTGTTGCTATTTTTAACCAGGTTTTCCGAAGGAAAAAACTGGTTATTAGATTGAGGTATGTCGGCGGGCGGGCGGGCGGATGGGCGGACGGGCGGGCGTAAACAATTTCTTCTGTGCGCAACTCCTCCTACATTTCTCAACGGATTTTGACCAAACTTTCACAGAAGCTTTGTCATCAAGTGCCCTGGCGCATATTGTCGGGGTTTTGCGATTAGAAAATATTTGACCTAATTATGGCCCTTTGTTTTTTTTCCTTATATAAAATATATAGTGAACAATTTCTTCTGTGCGCAACTCCTCCTACATTTCTCAACGGATTTTGACCAAACTTTCTCAGAAGCTTTGTCATCAAGTGCCCTGACACATATTGCCAGGGTTTTGCGATTGGTATATATTTGACCTAATTATGGCCCTTTGTCTTTTTTCCTTATATAGAATATATAGTGAACAATTTCTTCTGTGCGCAACTCCTCCTACATTTCTCAACGGATTTTGACCAAACTTTCACAGAAGCTTTGTCATCAAGTGCCCTGGCGCATATTGTCGGGGTTTTGCGATTAGATAATATTTGACCTAATTATGGCCCTTTGTTTTTTTTCCTTATATAAAATATATAGTGAACAATTTCTTCTGTGCGCAACTCCTCCTACATTTCTCAACGGATTTTGACCAAACTTTCTCAGAAGCTTTGTCATCAAGTGCCCTGACACATATTGCCAGGGTTTTGCGATTGGTATATATTTGACCTAATTATGGCCCTTTGTTTTTTTTCCTTATATAGAATATATAGTGAACAATTTCTTCTGTGCGCAACTCCTCCTACATTTCTCAACGGATTTTGACCAAACTTTCTTAGAAGCTTTAATTTGTTATCAAGTGCCTGGCACATATTGTCGGGGTTTTGTGATTGGATAATATTTGACCGAATTATGGCCCTTTGTATATTTTTTCCTTATACAGAATATATAGAGAACAATTTCTTCTGTGCTCAACTCCTCCTACATTTCTCAACGGATTTTGACCAAACTTTCTTAGAAGCTTTGTTTTCAAGTGCCTGGCACATATTGTCGGGGTTTTGTGATTGGATAATATTTGACCGAATTATGGCCCTTTGTATATTTTTTCCTTATACAGAATATATAGTGAACAATTTCTACAGTGCGCAACTTCTCCTACATTTCTCAACGGATTTTGACCAAACTTTCACAGAAGCTTTGTCATCAAGTGCCCTGGCGCTCACTAAATTCCCATGTTTCTT